TTGGCCATAACTTTGAACCATGAAAGATAGAGATTTCATATTTGGTATGCATACTCCACTAATAAAGCTCTTTAAATTGGCACCAAGGTCAATGACCTTGTGACCTTGACTGTGACCTATATGCTAAAAATAGCTTTTTTCTGCAAACTTTAACCTTTGCCTTAACTTTTGAACCATAAAATAGAGAGACTTCATATTTAGTATGCATACACCACTACGGTAATTAAGCTCTTTCCAATGATACCAATGTTAATGATTGACCTTGTGACCTTGACTGTGACCTATATGCTAAAATTAGCTTTTTTGTCTTCAAACTTTAACCTTCGTCATAATTTTTGAACCATGAAAGATAAAGACTTCATATTTGGTATGCTTACTTCACTTATTAAGTGCTTTCAAATGTCACCAAGATCATTGACCTTTTTACCTTGACTATGACCTATATGCTTAAAATAGCTTTTTTGAACCTTAACCATAACTTTTGAACCATGAGAGATAGGAATTTCATATTTGGCATACATACTCCACTATATAATCAAGTTTTTTTTTCAAATGATACCAAAGTCAATGACCTTGTGACCTTGACATTGACTTATATGCTAAAATAGCTTTTTTCGAACTTTGTGCCACCAGGCGCATAGTGTTTCACAAACGCATCTTGTTAATTCTTAATTTTCATTTGGGTTTATTACAAAGGGAAGGTCAAAAGAACATTAGGCTATCATTATTTTCAATGAGTTATTAGAAGTACATTGAACATGTCAAACAAATAATTTTTATTGTTGGCCTTATTTATGTATAATAGTTAAAATTTATTGCATATTATGAAATTGCTTGGAAGCATAATTGTGGAACAAGAAAATATAAATCTGATATACTATTTTTACTCATTCCACTTAAAATTTAATTTTCATTAAAATTTGAATTGAAACAAGTTACTCATCCAAAATCTAAAATATAGCGAACTCCTTCAATTCCATTTACCTTAGCCCTAACCTGACACATTAAAATCACCGTATACAACGGGTAACGCGGGGGAGTCGCTAAAAAGTATGGGGGAGTCGTTTTCAACGTATGGGGGAGTAGATTTTCACCGCTTCGGAGTCAGAGGAGATGTGGGTCACGTCTTTTTTCGGTATATAGAAGATGTATTTACAAAAAACAAATATCCCACGGAAGGTGGCAATAGTTAAGCTTTATCATAGTCATTTGTCCGGCTATCATATACGTCTAGTTTTCTCAAACACTTCGAAACTATTATTCAGTTTTCATATTTACGTTGATCGGGTAGTAAAAACATGCATGATTTGCACAATCTACGGCTTGCGTAGGGATTCTCATATTTAAAACAGCGAGAGAAAACGTTTATCTTTTAAATGCAACAACTTAAACTTGACTAGACTTTATAAAAATTAATAATTAAGACATTTTCTCTTCAGACAGTAACGGTTACGTAGGGGGGAGTCGTTTATGGGAAAGCACATCGCAGGGGGAGTCGCAAAATAAAGTCAAATGCATATACTTGGTGTTGTTTTCATCTCTTTTATACATGTACTGCCAATACCTTTCCATTTACACGTAGATATCTATAAATCTATGTTTGGTTATTTACTTTATAATCTGAAGTTAAGAAAAGAGATTTTTTTCTGTGGTTTTATCAGTTCACAAGTAATGACTTTCAGATGTCAACACAAGGGGTAGCTTGTGATTATCATTTTAATTTCGTTAGATAACAGATGCTGAGAGAAACAGAAACGTCTAAACTTAAATTTATGACCCGCACTCCCTATCCCAAACTGGCGAACACAAGAGGTCTTGACAGATTTAATTACTATATTACATTTATTTACTATATTATACAACAATTACTTCAAGAGAAATGCTTACTCAGTTGTTGAAAATTAAAAAAAATTGCCATAAAATGAGGTTTAATATTATTTCAACATAGCTTTGATTTTGTTCTTCATTAAAAAGTCTTCCCGTGGGGATCCAGGTTAGAATAGGTCCTCAGTACCCCCTTGCTTGTCGTAAAAGGCGACTAAATGGGGCGGTCCTTCGGATGAGACCGTATAAACAGAGGCCCCGTGTCACAGCAGGTGTGGCACGATAAAGATCCCTCCCTGCTCAAAGGCTGTAAGTGCCGAGCATAGGTCTAAATTTGCAGCCCTTCACTGGCAATGGTGACGTCTCCATATCAGTGAAATATTCTGGAGAGGGACGTTAAACAGTATACAATCAATCAATCATTAAAAAGTGGGGGGGGGCACAGACATACTCTTGCCCCCCAGATCTGAAAGGGGGGGGGGCTAGTGCCCCCGCTGCCCCCTGTGACTACGCCTATGAGAAGGGACTGGATTGCATAATACCTAAAGCGCTGGAAATGTATGTCTATGATAAATAAAATGAGAAGTGCCAGTGTAAAAATAATTAAACACAAACTTTGAAAAGAAGAAATACGAAAATATTTCTTCAATGTATACATTTCATTATCATGATACCCTCCCTTACCTTGCCCCAGATATATACAGTTCCTCAGAACATGTTACCCCCTTTACCCCTCCCCCCTTCGCAGTTTCGTGAACACGTAGCATGGGGGGTTGTTGTACCAGAATCAGTCTGAGGCAACCAGCATTATACATTAATAGACAGGATTCGACATCTTCGCTAGCCAAGGGTTTCTGATACGCTACTCTCCTAATAAACATGAGGAGAGTAGCGTATCAGAAACCCTTGGCTAGCGAAGATGAGGGTTCGAGGGCAACATGCGTTTTGTCGGACCCAAGAACCAAACTGTTTGCACGAGACGATTAGGCCGAAGGCAAATAGTTTTGTTCAAGGGGTCGACAAAAACACGTTTTGCCAGATCTAGAGAACACATTCGATAAATATTTTGTTATACATTTTACTGTTTATTATGATATTATCATGATGGAATTTTTGTTAACCCTCACTGCATTGAAAAACTGTCAATTCCATAAAGTTCTGACAGCTGACCCCACCCACACTTTGACGTAAACGGTGCATTATCTCATCGAAAGGTCCGACATCTCGCTCCATGGTCAAACAGCTATTTATTTGACTATATTTGACTTATGAAAACAGTAGAAAGGTTATTCTTTTTAGTGTAAATTTATATAACAATTTTTAAAAGTATAACAAATAAAAATTAAGACAACTCACCTGAAAAAATTTGACAAGCAAAAAAAAGGGGGGGGGGGGTTGGTGAAAGGAGGTTACAACAGATCGACAACCAAATTGTATTCACACATTAGCAGTATTTAAGTATTCTGAAACAATAATAATAAAGAAATGTTTGATATTATTAAGAAATTTTCCAAATTATTAATTGGGTTGTTCTTTTTTATGGAGAGGCTTTCATATTGGAAGTGAGGGTTCGTGAATTGGTGAATTGAATCTTTGTGATATACATGTACGAACATTACATACTGAGGGGGAGGGTCCTGTGCCCAAGCACATGATATATAATCCAATTGATCATGTTATCTAAATTGCTGATTGTTTTCTGGAACTGATGAAGCCACAGAAAAAATCTCTTTTCGTAACTTCAGATTATAAAGTAAATAACCAAACATAGATTTATAGATATCTACGTGTAAATAAAAAGGTATTGGCAGTATAAAAGAGATGAAAACAACACCAAGTATATGCATTTGACTTTATTTTGCGACTCCCCCTGCGATGTGCTTTCCCATGAACGACTCCCCCCTACGTAACCGTTACTGTCTGAAGAGAAAATGTCTTAATTATTAATTTTTATAAAGTCTAGTCAAGTTTAAGTTGTTGCATTTAAAAGATAAACGTTTTCTCTCGCTGTTTTAAATATGAGAATCCCTGCGCAAGCCGTAGATTGTGCAAATCATGCATGTTTTTACTACCCGATCAACGTAAATATGAAAACTGAATAATAGTTTCGAAGTGTTTGAGAAAACTAGACGTATATAATAGCCGGATAAATGACCATGATAAAGCTTAACTATTGCCACCTTCCGTGGGATATTTGTTTTTTGTAAATACATCTTCTATATACCGAAAAAAGACGTGACCCACATCTCCTCTGACTCCGAAGCGGTGAAAATCTACTCCCCCATACGTTGGAAACGACTCCCCCATACTTTTTAGCGACTCCCCCGCGTTACCCGTTGTATACGGTGAAAATGTTTTTCTTCTTTCTTTTTAATAAAAAATGTAACAAGAAATTTTTATGCTTACAATATGAACAGAATGATTATTTTGTAAAATTTTACAATCAACTGAAGTATTTAGTCATAAGTTCTGTTGTAAAATGGGTCCCAGATCCCCTGGACCTGCATGGGGTCATGCATTTCCTTATTTTGGCAGAGAGACCAATGCTTATCATAATCATGCCAACAGTTTGACAGCTTCATATCAGGAAGTAAAAGAGATTTCTGATGATTGAATTACTTTTGATAAATGGCCCCACCCATCAGGCTCCTAAAAGTATGTGGAAATAATTATAATTTTTGTAACCCATTGCCCATAATGCTACAATTATACAAAAATTAATTATTAAATTTACTTTAAATTGATTCAGCAATTTCAGAGAAAAAACTAAAAATGTTCAAAAGTTTACAATTGGAGGACCTTGCACAGCTGCACAATGGACAACAGATAATATCCAGCAAAGAAACAGATTGAATAGGTCACGTTAATTGTCTCAAGTGAGCTTGTACAACTTGAGAGGAAGCCTACATTTCCTTAATTTATTTTTTTTTAAAGATACAAGTGCTTCATAAAATAAATTTAATCTACATGCATTTCCAACACCAACATCACCTGAATCAGCGACATGCAAATTAAGATGATAAATGAATCAAGTGAAGTCACCATTATTTCAATTAAAAAATAAAAAAAAATATATAAGAACTAACTTAAAATTAAAGAACATACTTGTATCTGTTTTAGGATTTTCCTTTTTTAAAACTGTGAAATATAAAGTTTATCATAAAGTAATTATGTACCTGAATCGCTGGAAAATTCAAGTTCATTATCAGAATCTGAAAAATCTGGGAAAGTTATCCGTGTTTCACACATTTCGGTGTAAGACAAATAGTAAGTCCTTCCAAAGGTACATTTCTTGTATTAATGTCAAAATATTCTCTAACCACATCTCAAAAATTCATCCAGTGTAATTAAAAGTTTGGCTGCTTTTAGAGGGTCATTTGAGTGTGCATAATGTCACGTTAAACAAGTGAGAAACAGCCAGTTGATATGTGTTGCCCTTCAAATTGTACCTCATGTCTCGCAACATGTCATACATCAATGAACACAATTTTTACTAATATAAGACAAGAATTCAACCATGAAAATCAATATTTTAGGGTACACTTAATCTAAAAATTGCTTCAGGGTTTCACTGGATACAAATACTAAATAATGAGTAAATAAAACTCTCTCTAACAAGATGAAAAACAAATTTAAATGTTGTCGTCTTTTTTTCCATAAATGTCAGATAACGATAATTTGCTTAAAATAAGAGGTGATTCAGGACATTAAGATTTGACTTTCATATTCAAACGCCTAAGTACATTTCACATGATATAAACATAAATTTCAGTTTTTTTAGTATCATCTTGTCAATTTTTTTAGGATTAATTGCGAATAAATTACAACGTCAAAAAATGTAATGAGTGCAGTTAACTATATTACAAGGTGATAAAATTTTATAAACATTTAATACAAACAATTTCACTAGATGAAAAAATAACAGTATGGCATTCAGGATTTATCAAATGATTGAAATGTAATAATTATAAAAGTAATTATGGCATTTTTTATGAAATGCAGTTTTGTCACTAAAAATATTATAATCATATATTTAAATAACAACCAAATTTATTTCAATGTGTATGCTTAAATTTCCTGAAATCCTTGTATTGTTTAGAGAAAACTCCTGAATCATACAAATCTTTGTTTTGGAAATATTGTTTAAGTACTTTATTTTTAATAATTAAGTCACATGTATGAATTATCAGTGAGAAAGAAGCAGTGGTATATTGAGAAAAATTCTTAACAGATTTCCCGTTTGTAATATCGATTGTAACCCCACCCTACCCTAGGGGTCATGATTTGGACAATTTGGAATATACACTACCCAAGGATGCTTTCACCTAAGTTTAAACTTTTCTGATCCAGTGGTTCTTGAGAAGATGATTTTTAAAGAGTGTTCCTATATATTTCAATGTAAAACTTGGATTCCATATTGTGGCCCCACCCCACCCTGGGGGTCATTATTTTAACAATTTAGAATCTACACTACCCCCAGAATGCTTCCACATAACTAAGAGTCAGCTTTTCTGCCCCAGTGGTTTTTGAGAAGAACATTTCCAAAGACTTTTCCTATATAAATACATGTAGTTCAATATAAAACTTGAATTCCCTATTCGTATTGTGGCCCCACTCTACCCCCGGGAGTCATGATTTGAACAATTAAAAATCTACACTACACAAGGATGCTTCCACATAAGTTTTAGCTTTTCTGGCCAAACAATTCTTGAGAAGATTTTCCTATATACTACAATGTAAAACTTGGATTCCCTATTGTGGCCTCGCTCAATCCCCAGGGGTTATTATTTTAGCAATTTAAACTCTACACTACCCCAGGATGCTTCCACATAAGTTTCAGCTTCTCTATCCAAGTGGTTCTTGAGAAAATTTTTTAATGACCCCAACCTTATTTTTGTTTTTTCTTGATTATCTCCCCTTGCAAGGGGATTTGGCCCTTCATTTAAAAAATTTAAATGCCTCTTCACCCAAGAATGCTTTGTACCAAGTTTGGTTAAAATTGGCCCATTAGTTTCTTGAGAGGAAGTTGAAAATGTGAAAAGTTAACAGACAGACAGCTATAGATAGACAGGCAGATGACAGACAATGGGTGATCAGAAAAGCACATGAGGTTTCAGCTGAAGTGAGCTAAAAAAGAAATTTACAATAAAAATATAAAACAATAATTTCACACCCTGTAAATATCCTAAATTTTACAAATTAATTCACCACTGTTTCATCTATAGTAGCACTTTATATACAAGGAATTGCTACCCTAGTTTAATAAAACTCACTGCCTTAAATAAAAAAAACAAGTATTAAATGAGCTCACCTTCCTCTTCCAGCAGATGGGCTGCCATGACAGTTTCTGCAGCATTTCATTACACATATTTCTTGTTCATCCTGTAAAAGAGTTTTACTGACATGACTATGTATCCATAACAATAAAAATAGGTCCTCTTTATTAGCAAGGCCAAAGGAAATTGGTTTCACTGTAATTGTAAACATATACACACGTCAAAGGGAAATTCAATATCATTTCACAAATATATGTCATTCCAGATCTGTATGAGGCGTGAATCATGTACAAACAATATGCTCGGCTTGCCTTAAGATACATCTATAGTGAATATCTATGCAGCTTCGTATTCTTCATGGAAACATTCAAATGTACACTTAGACATGTCTGGGTAAGAGGCAGTTGAAAATGTGATAGCTGTGGGCATGAGCCTAAATTTATTCATTTTCCCAACTCAAAGAAGTGCAATTTAATCACTTGCTAGAGGGTACAAACCACGCTTTTTTCCAATTTATCTCTCAATTGATTTCACAAAGAAATGTAAAGGCACAAAACCTATTCTACAAAAAAAATATCTAGCAGACTCCTAGGAAACAGAGGCCTGTTCTACAGAACATGCACTCACCAAAAATCCTTATACCTCCAGCAGAAATGTTCGCGAAGAGTGCTTGTTCTGTTGAACAGGCCTCAGATTTCACACACCACCATGACTTTAGACATTGTTAGAGTTTACACAGGAATAAAAGTGCTAGAGATAAATATCTTTTGAGCTCGGTTTCTAGTTCCTTACATACTGAATTTATTTTTGAGAGTACCAAGTTGCTTTTTATAAGGCTTCTAGTATAACTTCAAGATAGTTTAAAGATATATTGCATTGTAATCAGTACTAAATCAATGTATAATAAAATAAGGTTTGTTTTTTTTTACCTGAACTTAATGATTTAAAGCCTGCATGGATCTTTATCCAATGAGAGGACATTATTTCTAACCATTACTTCCGTAATAATGTAAGGTCATAAAGAACATATGTTTATTTTTTTTGGTCAATGTACTTCACTTCAATTTCTGGTACATGTACATGGATATAGTTGTAGCAAGTTTTAATAATAGATTTGGACTGGTTGAAATTCTACTTTTTATTTTGTTTAACTCAACAAGTCCAAATGGGGATTACGCTACATCAAATAAATCATTAATATTATTGAATCTTTTAAGTGTTTGCCTAACAAAATCAATCCATGCAATACTGAGCACAATAAACATGATAAACAGCTGTGTTTGTGGACTTTATTATCATAATTATATTTACACTAAAAGTCCATTTCTTTCATTTCATAGCAAACATTCAGTAATAGTCCATGTACCTGAATATTAAACACATAAATAAAACAAACTACATGTATTAAAGAAGCCTTAACACTGATACATTGCTGTCAATTTCAGTTTTTGTTCTTCATTTTAAATTTCTAATTTTATTAAAAAAATAACCTTCAATAGTTTAATGAATTCAAATACAATGTAACATAAAATTCTAAAATTTAAAAGACAAAAACATTCTTCATAACAGCATGTAAAACACCTGTGTTTGTATAAAACAGGAACAAAAGCTCTGTTGTTGTTAATCAAAGTTGTCCCTATGACAATGGAGTGGGGAATTTCCCTGCCTATAATGAATTGTTAGGAACAATTGTTTTAACAGGTACATACCTCATGGTATTTTCACTTTGTGCAGAATCACTTTTTTTTAATCAATATTTTATTATGTCAGTAAGATCACATAATTGGATTGGACATCAGGCATGGCCTACATAAGTCCTCTACAAGAATCACTTTCAGCATAAGTCGCCACTCAATTCAGTTGGGTGGTCAGGTGGATAAATTAAGTGCCATGTCCAAGGACTTGTCAATGCCCACAGCAGGCCTTGAGTTTACTAGCAACCTTTGGGAAACTGGCCAACCCCCCTATGACCATGGAGCCATATGCTTCACATTTAAAATTTATATGTCAATGAACAATTTTATCGTAAAGTTCATATGTACATAAAATTGATAGATTTGATGTATAATACTTCTTGTGTTTCTTCCTTCATACTTCTATAGAGTTTTAACTAGGACTGGGACGATATATTGAGATATCGAGATATTGTGATATATGTGAGGATGATGCATATATCGATACATTTGAAAAAATATCGAAATATCGCCCAATAAATCTGACTTTTGTTTTTCTTTGTTTATTTAACATTTGGGGTTTAATATGTAAAATAAATAAGTTTAATATGAATTTAGATATGAAATAAATAATAATTAACACCACCTGAGTAAAATATTCTTGTTTTACAACATATAAACAATTATTTTGAATAAATTATTCTCATTTGCAAAGAAATAATTTGTTTATTTCAATGCAAAAAAGATTTTACAAGCAATTAAATATATCGTGATACATATCATATCGTGGCTCAAATATCGTGATACGTATCGATATAGAAAAAGTTGTATCGTCCCAGCCCTAGTTTTAAGCTGAACATTTTAATAAAGAACATTTTTAAAATTTACTATTTATCTGTTAAATCAAGGCAAGTCTAATTTAATATTGATCTTTTGTTGTTACCACTAGAACATAGTTTGTGGTGAGATTCAATAAGCAAAGGATTGTGATTCCAAAGGTTCTGAGGACAAAAATTCTATTGAATAAATGTGTACTATAGTCCAAATTTTCTTTTCACCCAGGCTTTTGCGTTAGAGCTCGCAGGGACCATCAGCATTTTGCGTAACTCGCTGCACTCACTATTACTTTTCATTAAAAAGGGTAAAAACACTGTGACAAAGGATGCCATTGCTTTAAACATTTAGCAAATTATTTAACTAGCACTGTTCAAGACCTCATTCTAGCGGTAGGGTTACTATACCCTACTTCAGTTAGAATAATCTACTGTGTCTCGTTACAGGCCCTCACCACGGAATCCATAAGACATTATCATTTTAACGATAGAATATTCTTCATTTATCCCTTACTCCTGTACAAACCCTAATGGTAATTAAATTAA